TTGAGTTTGGATTGAGAGACCCCAGACCTGGAACCTGGACCCCAAATGTAGGACTGAGAGACCCCAGAACCAGCTTCATTGGGATGTCTGTCCAAGAGGTCCCAGGCATCCTGAGTTCTGGCGTCCCCGTTCTCCATCCCCACTCCGCCCCGCTCTGGCCTAGACTGAGCAGATTCCAGGGATGCCCAGACTCTTCACCTCAGGCAGGCAGGGGAGCACACGGATCCCTGAGAATCGGGCTCTGAATCCTGACTCACTGTTCAAATTACCAATCTAGACCCAGTCATGCCTGGCACCATGAACCCTCAAATTACAACCCCAGAATTAGGAGTTGCCGGTACCTGACCCTGCCTGTATACAATTACTCCCAGATCTTGAGACCCTAAGACCCAGAATCACCCTCAAATCGTTCCTGAATGCTCACCTGAAACTCGGAGCACCTGTATCTGAGATGTTCTTGTAGCCCCAGGACTTCTTAGATACCGAATCCTCTTAAGATACTCTGAGACCTTGGATGTGCTCAAACGGATGTTCTCTGACCCAAATGACTTGGGAGACCCATCTCAGAGCCCCCCTCCCCACACGCACACTGCCCAAGATCCAGAATTAAGACTCCAAGATGCTCTGTGAGCCAGGAATCAAAGAAGTCTGTAGACCACCAACACCAAGCCTGTGTTCCCAGGAGCTTTCCACTTCATATGGAGGACTCTGAGATGCCTAGTCCCGCAGGTGTAAGACTGGAGGCAACCAACACCTCAGGGCCCAACACATTGGTCCCAACCCCTCAGATAGCCCTCTTCCAATCCTCCTTGGACTTGCATTTCAAGCCCCAGAATGTCCTGGAATCTTTGGCTTCTTCGTACCCACAAATTCCCCAAGCCACTAAAGGCTGGGAGCCCAGCTCCCACAAGATGGGATGTTCATGGCAACTCAGACCTCTGACCCCTTGCCCCTGAGTGACCCCAAGGTGCTTTAGGAGCACTAGATCCAAGACCCCAAGGTGCCATTGACCCCCAAATTCAGCACTCAAGCCTACACAATATTGGGATCGTCCCTGACCCAAGACCTTGGTCCCTCCATACCAGAGACAAATCTGAGGCTCCCTGGGACCCTAGCACCTTCAGTTCCCAGATTTCTTTGGACCCAAACCTCTCTAGCCTGATATTTCCCAGGCCCAGCTTGTGCATCCCCTGAGACCTGCTGCCCGTTGAATCCTGCCATCCATACGCCCCTGAAACCCCAAGTTCCCAGACACTGGAATTCTAGTCCCAAGGGCTCCAGCCCAAGCTCTCAGTATCCCACAGAACTACCCCTTTACCCTAAGGGGAAAAAAACATTTTGAGGTAATGTTCCTGGATTCCAGGACCACCCAAGAGCACCCCTGCTCCCATCTCTAGGACCCAGCATTAATGTAGATGATTGTGCAAGCTGTTCATGAAGCAGAGGCACACAGCCAAGGTGGCGAGTGGGGCTGGCCATGCTGTGCCCTCAGAGGAAGGTGGGCATTGCACAAAGGCAACTAGATATGGCTCTATTGGCACAAAGGCCACACACACACACACACACACACACACACACACACGCCAGCCTTGCAGACTCTCTTCCAAGCCCAACTTTGAGTCCTAGCCCTAGTCCAAGCCTTTTATGATCTGCCCCTCTGTTAACTCCTTCTCTTCCATCTCAGAGTTGGGGGTTGTTTCGGAAAGTTTGAAAGCGTGGTTCATGGCCCATTGAGAGTCCTCTTCTGGGGAAGGGGGATTCCAAGGTCACTTTCCCCTGAGTGGAATGGGACTTCTAGTGTACCACAGATCTGATGGCCTCCTGCATGGGGGGGGCGGGTATCACGGTCTTGGAGCAACAATCTCAATGTTGTACGGGCTTGGGACCTGCATCTGGTCCCGAGCACCTTGAAATGTGCACTTACCTTTCCTCATTACCCAGACTTGGATAGCCTTGTGGGGGTTCAAGGGATAGGTCAAGGGGGCCAGAGGGGTGGATCCTCCTGTCACTTCCTTTAAATTATTAACTATTTATTATATCCGGAACCTGTGAGATTCAGCTCTCTCAAGCAGACCCTGGGATGGGTGAGAGAAAAGGGGGGTGTCCCTCCCATCCCCACTCTGCCCAGCTCTCATCACTGTCAGACCCACCAGAGCTGAGGGCGGAGGGACTGGAGGCTGGGGCAGCCTGGGTCCCCATCCCCCTCTCTGTGCCTCGGTCTCCTCCCTTCCGTGGTGGGCGGGGGGAAGCTCCATTCTTAACCTACCTCGTTTTGGGGAGGGGTGGGACGGGGGACCAGAGTGCTGTAAGGTGCTGCGGGATCTGCGGATGAAGTGGGGGGCTGGGGGACGGTTCCCTGGCTCCCACCTCCCAGCACCGCCTCTCCCAGGTCTCCCAGTCCTGCTCCCTGCTGATACCCACCTCTGATCCATGATTACTCTTCATCACCCCTAGATCAGGGGTGCATGGAGGGATGACCCTGGGAGCCAGGAAGACCTCAGACCCTGGAGCCCCCAGGCCCAATTTCCCAGCTGCTTGCCCCTCAGATTGGATGCTTGGCCCCCATACTCGGGAGAGGCACCCCGACATTTATCTTCCTGATCTTGATTCTAAGCCAGTCTGTGACCTCAATGTTGTTATCAGGGCAGGCTGAAGTAGTGGGGGATGATGCGGGCCGAAGACCCAGCCTTGTCATCGGGGAAGGGGGCATGAGATATCGGCTCCAAGAAATGTCTGTGACAAAGTCTCAGCCTGTGTTCTTTATTTGCATTGATGCACCCCATCCATTCACCTTCCTGAACCACCAGACCAGTCCCCTACCCAAATCCTCCTTTCCCCTTCCCATCCTTTAGTCCCAAGCAGATCCTCCAGCTGAATTTATACCTCCAGTCACTCTACATTTATTGGACACCCTTTTTATTGGCGCTGGGGATAAGGCAGTGAACAGAACAGACAAAAATTGGGGAATTCCCTGGCGGTCCAGTGGTTAGGACTCCACATCACTTTCACTGCCAAGGGTGCAGTTTCAATCCCTGGTTGGGAAACTAAGATCCCTCAAGCCACGAGGCCAGAACAGACAAAATCCTTTCCCACAAGGAACTTATGAGCCGTATAGTGAAGGAGACAACATGTTAGAAATGATACATACTATAAAGAAAAAATAAAGTGGAGATGGGGGATACAGGCAGTTGTAGCTGGGGTGGTCAGGGAGTCCCCACTAAGGAGCTGGCGTTTGAATAAAGCCCTGAAGGAGGTGAGGGAGTCTTGTGGATGTCTGCGGGAAAAGCACTCCAGGTAAAGGGGACAGTTGTGCGAGGCCCTGAGGGAGAAGCATGCCTGGTAAGTCTGAGGGACATCAAGGGAGCTGGACGGGGTGGGGGGGAAGCAAGTAGGAGGGTGCTTAGGAGATGAAGGCTGAAAGGTGACAGGGAGGATCTGTGGGGCCTTGCAAGCTACTGCATGGACTTTTCTGCTCACCCGGAGTGAGGTGGAGCTACAGGAAGGCTCCAAGCATGGGAGGGATGTAACCTGACTCAGGTATTCATAGGTTCCCATTTGCTGCCTGTGGGGGACAGATACTGGGGAGGAGGGGCCATGGAGACATGGTGAAGGCTGCTGGGATGGTCCAGGGGGGACAGTGGTGCACAGGACGAGGGTGAGATCAGTGGAGGCGGGGAGAAGTGGGCAAGATACTGGATCTGTTTTGAAGGTCAAGTTCACCAATTTAGATATGGAGTACACTATAAAGAGTAGAGTCAAGGTTATGACGCCAAGGCTTTGGCCTGATCAATTTTTAGTATTTTATTAAGGTCAACAAATGCCCCCTGAGTACCCAGCCTTGGGGTACGCAGGACTATGGAGGAACCAGATTAAGGGTAGGCTCTGCCCTGGAGAAACAGGTTCTGGCCCTTTTCTTCCCTGAGGCTCTACTCCCAGTTCACTCCCACTCCCAGTAGAACTACAGAAACTACAGGAGACCAGGATAGAGTCGGGAAGAGAGTAAACCTGGAACAATAATTTTAACAACAGCTACAAAAACAAGAGCAGTAATAACAATAGTAATAGGTTAAGTGGTTAAAAGCACGGACTTTGGAATCAGATCTGAATTTGGAGTCCTGGCACCACCATGCATTCTCTCTGTGATTCATCCTCTCTGCATCAGTTTTCTCTTCCATAAAATAGAGATAAGATACTTAGCCCAGCAGCACACACGAAATGCTTAATATATGTTAGCCATTTTTAATAGAGTACCCCGTAGATGTCTGCTAAGCACTGATCCTCACAAACAACTGTAAAATGTAGGCGTTATTACCCTCATTACACAGATGTGAAGAAATTTGGCAGGAACACAATGGTGGTGAATGGTGGAGTCAAATCCTAACCTTTGCCTGCAGACAAGATTGCACTCCTAGGGTGCAATCTCTTAATCACCATAATATATTGCACCTGCTCCCTCTCTCCAAGCCTCAGGGGGGCAGAGGGGTGAAGGTCCAACGGACTAACTCGGTTTTGTGTGTGTGTGTGTGTGTGTGTGTGTAGCTGGGATTCCTGGGTCCCTGACAGAATTCCAACTCTAAGTAGGAAAGGAGGGAAAGAGTTTCTGGACTTGGAGAGGAGTTGGGAGAACAACACTTGGTCAAAGTTGCTTTAAAAGCAGAGGGCATTTGAGGGAGGCTGACGAAAAGGAAGCCGAAGTTGCTTCTACGTCGCAGCAGTAGCGACATCGCTGGTCTGTCGCGACAGCCGGGATTCAGAACGCCCGCTGGGGGTTTCCAGTGTCCTGACTGCTTACCCGAAGGGCGGCGCTCTACCGCTCGGCTCTGGAGGCGAGCCCGGGGGCGGGTTCTGCCTCCTTCTGCACCAATTGAAATGACGAAGGCCCTTAGCAAGAAGAGGCTGATTGGTCAGTTACGGGGGGTGGGGGTGCACGCCATTCCTGGGGCGGAGCTTCCCACTGACCGGCAGGGGGAGCGCGCGCCGGGCGAAGGGGCTACAGTTTCATGGAGGGGGCGGAGGCGGAGGAGCGGGAGTGGGCCGCGGTGGCCCGGGACCTGCTGGCGCTGGGGTAAGGGGAGCGGGCTGTGGCTGGGGGTGCAGGAAGGGGCAGGTTTGCCCTCAGAAATTCCTACTAACCTCCCCCACCCGCTCCCGCTGCCTCGGCCGCGCCGCAGGTATGAGGGTTTTTCGGGGTCGGCGTCGCTGGGAACCTCGTGCCCAGACTTCAGGGCTCTGTGCGCGCGGCTGGCGGCGGAGCTGGCGACTCTGGGTGCCCTGGAGCGGCAGCGAGAGGAGGGCACGGAGGCGCTGAGCGCCGGTACGCATGGAGCGGGAGGCTGGGAGTGTCGGAGCCATGGGTGGCGCCGCCACGCCCTGACATCTCCCGCCTCCGGCAGGTTCTGTTCCCGAGGAGGAATTCCTGCGACAGTTGGCCGGCCTGTTGCGGGAGTTGCACTGCCCAGACCGCAAGCTCTGCGGCGGGAACTGCGGGGCCTCGCTGCAGGAGCCCGGCGTGCGCCTGCGCCTGCTGCGTGAGGAGGGGGCTGGCCGGGATGCGGAAGTGGGAGAGGCTACAGCCTCGAGGGGGGCGGGCTCTGCGCGTTGAGGTGGAGCCCGGGATCCCGAGGGGGCGTGGTCAGAATTTTGAGACCAGCAAGAGGGCCGGACGGAGGTGGGTGGGGTCCGAACACTGGGCTAGGCTAAGGGCTCTGCGATGGGCGGGGTTAGTATTTTGATGGTGGGTCTTGAAGCTCACATGGGTTGGGTTAGACGGAGCGGGACAGGAGGTTCCGAAGTGGGCAGGGTTTGAAAAATCTGCAGAGGGAGCTGGGTCTCGAAGTGAGTGGGGCTTATTCTGGAGGTAGAAGCAGGATTCTAGGTGGGCGGAACTAGGAGGCGGGAGGTTTTGAAGCCGCTTGAACTTTTTGACCCCGGTAGGTGGGGTGGCAGCCCTCCTTGATTGCACTGCTCCTTTTCCCTACTTTTAGGCTTTCTCTGCTCGGAGGTCCAGGCTGCTCGCCTGCTCCGCCTGCAGTCCCGTCTGGATCCCAGTCCTGAGCAGTCTGGTGTGGAGGGAGCAGAGGAGGGATCTGGCCTGGTCCAGGAAATGGTCCTTACTCTCCAAGCCCTGGGGCTGCCTAGACCCATGCCGGGGACCCCAGCCAGCCAGCTGCTTCGAGACTTGCATGCCAAGGTAGAGGGCTGGAGCCCCCTCCGCACCCGGCTCACCTCACTCTCCTCGTAGGGGGGACAGCCCCCTTTTCAAAAGTGGCTCTGGGGGGATTGCACAGCCACGGATGTTTCCTACAACTGTGACTGCCATTCTTGGTTCTGTGGCCGGGGTCCTCAGGGTCGTGGGGAACTGGGGTCCACGGAGGAGTCTATCCGATTTCTGCCCGGTCAACCCCAGCCTCCTTCTTCTCTCATCAGATCGTGGAGCTGCTGCCTTCCCTGCCCGCAGGGTCCCTAAAGCCTCTCCTCAGCTACCCGCTGGATGCACCTAGATGGGTAAGGCTGTGTATGGCTGTATGTATGTGAAAAGAAATGGGAGTGAGGGGGGCCCCTGGCATGACTGAGACCTTTTCCCCCAGGAAGCATTGGAGTCTCTGTACCAAAGCCTGCGAGATCAGTATTGCTGCCGCCGCTGCCTCCTCCTCAAGCGCCTGGACCTCACAACATCTGCTTTCCACTGGAGTGATCGGGCAGAGGTGTGGGCAGAAGACCAAGGCAGGAGCAGTTGTGAGGGCTGCAGCTGCAGGGAGGAGACATGAGGGCCAGGGATATGACCCTCTTGCTGGTTCTGAGGCCCAGGACATTTTAGAATCTTGTGAGGTTTGGGGGTCTGGAATCTCAGGGCCCCCAGGGCATTCTAGAATTCCCTGGTCTGATCTGGGAGTGTATTTAGAGCAATACTCCTTACTAAAAGATGTGGGAAGTGCACAACATTGTAAATCAACTATACTTCGATAAAGCAAACAAACAAGAAACATAATGAAATATTAAAAAAGAAAAAAAGATGTGGGAAGTGAGGCCCTGAGACAGGAAGAGATGCTTTCAAGATTACAGATCCCATCTGGGGCGGTCTCGTGGGCACGTTCTCCATGTCTACTCCTACTCACTAGGCCCAAGGAGAGGCCATGAAGGCAGTGCTGATCCCAATTCGAGAGGCTCTGACCCCAGAATCGGATGTCTCCATTGCACACGTACTGGCTGCTCGAGCTGACCTGTCACGCCTTGTCCCAGCCACCAGCAAGACTGCCCGCCGAGGGACCTGCTGTGCTATCCACAAGGTGAGTACCTGGGGATGGGGAAGGGCCCCAGCATCCTTGGCCTTCAAACTGGCCTTTTAGCCTTTGCTTGTACAAACCTTGTCCTCTTCTGCCTGGGCTCCTGCTCTCGCCTTCTCCTTGGGTTCCTGGCCTCTGGACTCACGACCTCTAATCTGCCCCCTCCACATGGCAGTTAGAAGGATGTTTCTAACTCAAACATCTGACCATGTCCCTCCCTAGCTCAAAACCCTTCTATGGCTCCCCAGTGCCTTCAGAACAAAGTCCACCTATTTACTGAGGCCCTGCCCTCCTCTCCTCCTTTGGCTTAGAATCCTCTCCCACCACTCACCCTGTCCGCTGTATTGGGTTTTAACCATTTTTAAAGCAAAACTACCCTCTGTTCAAATGATTACATATTTAGCCTGCATTGGGAGTAAGGAGTGTTACCACTGGACCACCAAGGAAGTCCCAGCATCTGCCCTTCCTTTTTCAACCTCATGCTGTTCTCTTGGCTCTCTAGCCCCCTTGTCCAAGATATTTTTCTTCTCTGCAACTCAAGTCTAATCACCTCTCAGGTGCTTATGGGCAGCGTTCCAGACCGGGGGGGCCGCCCAAATGAGCTGGAGGCTCCCATGCCCAGCTGGCAGAGCAGAAGAGAGGACAGAGGCGGGCAGAAGGCAGGCCGCCAGTGCTGGGGCCGCAAGAAGAAGAAGTAAAGGGGGACTGGTGGTTGGAGGGGGGGTCCTTCATGAGGTGCTGACATTGATAATCTCTGAGGAGTCACTGTGAGGGTTTCTCTTGGCACCTGGCACCCCAGCCCCATATCCCCTGTTCCTCAGGTCCCAAATGTCCTCCCCACATCTACCATTCAACACCAAGGACCATGTTCTCTGGAAAATAAATTTAATTAATTAATTAATTTTTAAAAATTTATTTATTTGTTTATTTTTGGCTGTGTTAGGTCTTTGTTGCTGCACGTGGCCTTCTCACTGCGGTGGCTTCTCTTATTGCAGAGCATGGGCTCTAGGTGCACGGGCTTCAGTAGTTGTGGCACTCGGGCTCAGTAGTTGTGGCTCGTGGGCTCTAGAGTGCAGGCTCAGTAGTTGTGGTGCACAGGCTTAGTTGCTCCCGCGGCATGTGGGATCTTCCCAGATCAGGGATCGAACCCGTGTCCCCTGCATTGGCAGGCGGATTCTTAACCACTGCGCCACCAGGGAAGTCCTAAATTTAATTTATGACAGCCCTAGGAACTATCTCTGTGGGGGCCAGGTCAGGGGTGCTCAGGTTTGAGGAAAGGTAGGGGGGTCTCTGTCCCCTGGGTCTGAACAGGCCCCTGCTGCTCTGACCTTTAAAGCCCTTTGCTCTTCAGCAACATCTTTCCCTCCCAGTGGGCATGGGGGAGGAGACATGCAGGCATTGGGCAAACATCTGTCAGGTACCCACCATGTGCCAGCCCTGTGCTAGGCATTGGGGTTACAGATAATAATAACCCCTGGTCTCCCGGAGCTGACCTTTCTGGTGAGGAAGGGCAGACAAGAAAGTTTAGTTTGTCAGATGGGGAAAGGGCTTTGGAGAGAAATAAAGCAGGAAGGCAGGATTGAGACCATGGCAGGATTGCAACTTTATGCATGATCAGGGGAGGCCTCACTGAGAAGGTGGGTACTTGAGCTAAGTCCCAAAGAGGGAGCCATGTGGACCTCTGGGGAAGAGCCTTCCCTTCCTGACAGAGGGAGTGTCCAGTGCAAAGGCCCTGAGGTAGGAGTATTTTGGGGCATGATCAGGGACCATTGGAGGCCAGTGTAGCTGAAGCAGGATGAGTGAGGGGGTGAGTGGTGGGAAGGGAGGTGGGAGAGGTGATGGGGGCAGACCATGTGGGGTGGGCCACAGTGAGAACTCTGGCTTTTCCCCTGAGTGAGATGAAGCCATGGGAGGGCTCTGAGCAGAGGAGGGATGTGATTGGACTCAGGTGTTCACAGGCTACCTCCCTGTTCCACCCTTTCTCTGGCCTTCTCTCCCATCTCTGGAACTCCAGAGTTTGGAACTTTACCCACCCTGTACCGTCCCCCTCCTGACCCATACTGACATCAATGTAGCATATTGGTCAGTAGCTTCCATTTTAGAGGCAGGCAGACCTGGGTGTGAGTCCTGTCTCCAGCACTTAGGCGTTCTGCCACCTTGGGTGAGCAGTTTAACTTCACTGAGCCTGTTTCCTCATCTGTAAAATGGAGATTTAAGGAGGTGGCGAGATGATGCCTAGGTCTAAATGTATCCAGCACAGAGCTGGATATTAAATGCAAGAAAAGGGAGTACGATTAATAGCCACTCTGATGCAAAAGAAGAAAGTAACTTTCTTTCGGAGTAAGAGATGACGGATGCTTCAACAAAGGCAGTGTGGATGGGAAGGAGGCGATGCCTTTGGGGGGTTCTGCTGGAGGCCTGGAGGCCGAATAATAGGACTCGAGACTGACTCTGGTGGAGGGAGTGGGGAGAGAGCAGACCAAGGCAACGTCTAGGAACTCAGCTTGGAGGACTGGGTGGGTGATGGGGCCGTCGCTGGCAGAGGGACCTGGAAGGAGGAAGACACTGGGTGATGTGGGAAGTGTACGATGTCCAGGAGACGGTTCACTGCAGGGGGAGAGCCTCACCCAGACTTGTGAAAGTGGATGGATGAATGTCCCCTCTGGATTTTCTTTTAGCTCAATCTGAGAGTCCCCACTTTCGAATCGTGGCATTTACTCCACCATTAGTGTCTGATATATTTGGCCTTATTCTAGCCATCTTATAGTTGTCTTTCTTTTTTTCTTCCTAAACTCCCTTTTCGTTTCTACTAGTGGCTACCCCTTCCCCTCCCCACAACATACTGTAATTCCTATTTTTCTATCAACATTAAAAATTAACCACTATCTATGCCCTCCTACCCAAGCAATTGAGGACTTTTGCATATTTTAACTTTCCTATGCTTCCCCAAATCTGCCTGGGCTCCCCCAGGCAAATAGGCTGGTCTCCCTGTATCCAGTTGTGGGTAGGGGCAGCTCCTCCTCACCGTCTCTGGTTCCCAGGAGGGATGTGAGGGCTCTGTCTGGGTCCAAGCATGGCAAACGTGCCACCCAGTCTTAGGTTCCAGGGATAGCGTGTAGGAGAAATTGTCCTCGGAGCCTGTTCGTGGGGTTGTGGATGGGAGGGATGTGGGTGCGGTAGGAAAGACCTCATGACCTTGGAGTTAATCCCCATCCATCCACCAGACCCCCTTCCCAGGACTGCTACACCCTGGGTCTTACCACAGCCGGCATGGGGAACTGGTGTGGGTGGGACAGGGGCTTCTAGGGGGCTCACGTCGCCCTTGGCCCCTGGCCTCTTCTTACACTCCAACTTCACTTGGTCTCTGCAGTGTTTGTGGCAACACAGCCCACAGTCTGGGGGAAATTCAGAGGTTAGTGCCAGAGGCCCAGTCTGTGTCCTCTATTCTTCCAGCCCGTGGGTCCTGGATTCCCTCCCCCTACCCATGCCCCGCTCACCCCGACAGCGGTAGCCTTGCTTGGTGACACCCCAAAGCTGGGAAGAGAAAGCAGAATAGGTTACCTAGGCTAGGGGAAGGAGGGCTGTGATTGGGGTGGGGCTGGGGTCTGTCTGGAGGAAACAATTCAGGTTTTGGAAGTTTTCAAGGCTAGAGGCTTATGTGGGATCTGGGAGACTAAAGGAATTAGGAGGTTATCTCAGGTTTGGAAAGTCATCTGTGATATGAGAATTGGACAAAATTTGGAATTAATAAAGCATAAATTCTATGGGCAGGGATTGTGTCTGTTCTGTTTCCTCCTGTGCTCCCACCCACCCAGAGCCTATAACTGTGCCGGGCACACAGCAGGTGCCCAGTATATATTTACGAATGAAAAAATGAATGAAAAAGTAAATTCGGAAAATAATCCAAGGTTTGTGAATTGCTCTTGGTTTGAGATTGAGAGATTTGTCCATTATACAGAGTTTGAGGATACCCTGAATTTGGAAATTATCCAGGGTTTGAATTATCTGGGGTCTAGAGACTTGGAGATTGATTCCGCTTGGAGATAATCTACTCGTGTTTGTAGATTCTCCAGGGTTTGGCAATTATCCAGGATGGAGGTTGGGAATCGAGCAGTATCTAGACTTCAGAATTATCCAAAATGTAGGGAATATCCATTGTTTAGCGTTGCTGTGAAATATAGGGATTATTTGAGGCTAGAGGCTTTTGTGGAATTTGGGGATTATCCGGGGCTTGGTGACCGTGCGCGCTCCAGGGCAGGGCTGGCTTTTCCAGCCCAGGCTGTGAGGAGTTAGGGCACTCCAGGGGTCCCTCAGGGTGACAGCGGGCGGAGTGCTCACGAAGCCACTGCAGATGCCACAGAAGGTGGGCTTGCGGAAGGTGACCTCCTGGAAGGTGTGCAGGAAGGCCAGGCCCAGCTTGGAGCAGATGGCGCTGGCCTGGAGCAGGTACCCTGTCAGCTCCTCTCGGCTGAAGGAGCCACTCCTGGGGGAGAGACTGCGCTTCAGCAGGACTGGCCCATTTCTTCCAGACCCAGGAGTCCTGGATACCCCAGGTCCTCGTCTTAAGGGAACCCAGGAGTCGGGAGCACCTACCCCTGGCGGGGGGGTGGGTGAAGCCCGTGGCAGGCGAAGGGGAAGTTGCCTGAGAGTCGCTCAAAGTCCTCCTGAGAGATGGTGCCTCGGCCTTCGGGGTCATAGTTCTTGAACACAGACTTCGGAGGAGCGTGGGAAGGGCAGAGTCAGGCCGAGTCAGAGGCCCCAGGGCCTTAGATCCCTCCTCCCGCCCAGGGCTCCTCCTCACCTCCACCAGCTGCTCCACGTGCCGACCCAGCGTGACCCTGTCGGGCTTGGGCGTCACGCCAGGGGCCCACTGCACCACCAGGGGCACCTGGAAGGGGGAGGGTGGCTGGGGCAGGGACAGAGGGTCACAGTTAGTCATTGCAGAGGCTTGGGCTGGAGGTCAGAGGTCAGGGTGGGGTCTCACCAGACTCTTGGGACAGCGGGGCTCCCGGGCATAAGAAAGCTCATAGATCTCGTCCTCCGTGTAGAAGAGATCCAGGGAAAGCTGGAGGATGGGCAGGGTGTTATGGACCCTCCTTGTCTCTGTCCTCCATGCCTGCCTGGGCCCCCAATCTCCTCCTCTTTCCAAAGCCCCTCTTCCCTGGGACCCCCATGGTCCTCTCTCCCACTGAGCCCCACTTCACTCTGCACACCCCTGGTCCCCTAGACCAGAAACACCATCTTGTCACCGAGGCTCTTTTGATCCTATTTAAAATTGTAAACCCCTGTCACTTTCCATGCCTGTTTCTGCTTTAATTTTCTCTATAGCACTTTTTATCTAAAAGACCATATGATTTACTTATTTACTTTTTTCACTGGCTATCTCCCCCACTAGGAAGTCAGCTCCACAAGACAGCAATTTTTTTCTGATGTTGCACACTGCTGTGAGCCTAAGTGCCTAAAGTAGTGCCTGGCTCACAGCAGGTGCTCAATAAATATTTGGGCTGATGGCCTCTTAGGGTCAGCATAGCATAGCAGCTCAGGCACCAATCATTCTGGGGCAGGACCAGCTTCACAGGAAGGCCCCACACTTAGAGGGGCCTCCACTTCATTTAATGCCCTGCTGTCACCATCTTGAAATTCTTAATAATTTCAAACAAGGAGCCCCACATTTTCAATTTGCAGGTGGTCCTGTCTTAGGATCTGAAAGTCAGCTTTTCAGTCTTAGACTACCTGGTCCTCAGAATCCCAGTCTCTCTCAATTTATAGCTCTTTAGAATGAAATATATATATCTCTACCTCTCTATCTCTATTATCTATCTATCATCTATCTACCTATCTATCTGTCTATGTAAAATAAAATATAGCCAGAATCTCACACTTGCAGTCTTAGGACATAGTGTGAGAGTTA